TGCTTCATAATAATATTTATTTAATAGATATATTTAACAATGGCTAAATGAAATTCTCACAGAGTTATGGCAGAGACATATATACGTCTCTGGTTATGGTAATAAGCTTCGAACTTATAAGCTGTAAAAATCACAATATTGTAAAACAAAAGATGTATGTTAAATATAAAGGATTCTATGACATTTATATGCAGACCTTCGAAATATATTGTATAATGAAGGGTGTAAAACATAATGATCAATTTTATACCTTGTCCAATGACGAAAATATTGTTTTTTTGATAGAACAAATATTCTTATTTTTAAAAGGAGGTAATATTAATATAACCTCTTTGTTTATATATAGCTGATGATGTGATTAAATATTTTAAATATATCGATATGGTTTTAAAAAATTATGTAAAATATTATATATAATCAAACTTTTAATGGTCTTTAAGAATTCTTAATAGAATGGCACTTGTATAAAAAAAAGATGTGGTATGATTGACAATGAGACAACTCTCCACCAGATTGTATATGTTTTATTATTTCAACTAATAGTATTTTACTGTAAATCGTAATAAACACTGTGTTATGTATGTTTTTTTAATTTTAGTTCATTTATATGTTTTGGAGTTTAGTGTGACGTCCATTTTCATTGAACTAGTACACATTTTTGTTTAGGGGCCAGCTGAAGCCCGCCTCCGGGTGCTGGATTTTCTCGCTATGTTGAAGACCCATTGGTGGCTTTCGGCGGTTTTCTGCTCTTTGGTCGGGTTGTTGTCTCTTTGACACATTCCCCATTTCCATTCTCAATTTTATGTGAATGTTTTGTGTTATAAAAGTGTAGACCCTGACTTTAATGCTGACACTGATGCATTGAAAATTAAATGTAAAAATGTATATTATATAAGCTTTTGAATAAAGTATTATTATTAATAAAATATTGAAACTTGATTCTTAAATCCCTTTCTTATTTTACCATTCCGGTAATAGAAAAAGTGTGAAAACAGCCAATAGCAGATTTTAGAAATGTTATCGATGGTAAACGAATAACTACAAATCAACTTGTATCCATATTGTGTCAGCTACACATCTAATTCTCATTACTTTAAATCTATTGTTTCTGCGTTATAAGCGAGATAACTGAAATTAATATAAAAAAAATTTGTAAGGGTTCCGCGGAACCCAGTGTCTCGCCTACTTTTGCTGTTAATCGCAGGCTCAACAAAAATGAGATAAAAAATTAATAAAAATATTCCTCTCTAAACTATCTTTTGATTGAAAGTAACTTCTGTCCAAGTTTGGTAAAAATCCAGGATAGTTTATGAATCTAATAAAAGTTTTAAAAACTTAAACTGCAGACTGTATGTAATGTTAACTGGCAGAAACACTAAGTCCATTTATAAGTAAAATTAGGAAATAATGGAACAAAATTTTAACAAAATTTCCTTCTAGATACTAGCTTTTAATCATAAACAAGCTTCTGTCCAAGTTTGGTACAAATCCAAGATAGTTTAAGAAAGTTGTTAAAATTTTAAAAACTTTAACCACAGAGTGAATGAAATGTTAACTGGCAGAAAAACTATAAGTCCATTTATAAGTAAAATACTGATTTTTTTTTTTTTTACAACATTTACTTCTGGATACTATCTTATGATCATAAACAAGCTTCTTATCAAGTTTGGTAGAAATCCAGGATAGTTTAAGAAAGTTATTAAAATTTCAAAAACTTTAACCACAGAGTGAATTTCCTGGCAGAAAAACTAAGTCCATTTATAAGTAAAATACGGAAAAAATGGAATTTTTTTTAACAAAATTTACTTTTGGATATTATCTTATGATCATAAACAAGCTTCTGTCCAAGTTTGGTAGAAATCCAGGATAGTGTAAGAAAGTTATTTTAAAAAATTTCAAAAACTTTAACCACAGAGTGAATATTTGTGGACGCCGCCGACGACGACGACAACAACGACGACGACGACGACGACGGAATGTAGGATCGCTATGTCTCGCTTTTTCGACAAAAGTCGAAGGCTCGACAAAAATGAAAGTCATTTTCTGAAAAACCAATTTATTATTGCTGGATGTTAGGACTGAAATAACGACTAGAATGAAGTAAACAGACAGCTATATACATGATGTATATAAACCTCAATGTAAGTATAATAAAAAGTAAATGTAAGTAAAGTAATGTAAGTATAATAAAAAGTAAATGTAAGTAAAGTAATGTAAGTATAATAAAAGTAAGTGTAAGTAAAGTTATGTACAAATATAACTGATGAGCGGTACACAACCGAAATTTTGGTTGCCATACAAATGGTGTAATGGGATAAGAGACTACATAAACACTCCAATGAAGGATGAAAAAGAAATTCACTAAGTGCTTTTGCCTTAATTGACGAACGGTTTGGTTTGATCACTTATGACTTTTGAAATTGTGTGATTGTTTTGATATTTTTGCTTTCAGAATGTTTCAAGATCATAAAATTAATAAACAAATCTATCTTTCATAGATATAAGAAGATGTGGTATGAGTGCCAATGAGACAACTCTCCATCCAAGTCACAATTTGTAAAAGTAAACCATTATAGGTCAAAGTACGGCCTTCAACATGGAGCCTTGGCTCACACTGAACAGCAAGCTATAAAGGGCCCCAAAAATGACTAGTGTAAAACCATTCAAACAGGAAAACCAACGGTCTAATCTATATAAAAAACGAGAAACTAGAAACACTTATGAACCACATCAACAAACGACAACCACTGAACATCAGGTTCCTGACTTAGGACAGGTGCAAACAAATGCAGCGGGTTTAAACGTTTTAATAGGCGCCAACCTTCACCCTTACCTGAACCAATAGTGTAACATCACAACATAGAAAGACACACTATAAAATATCAATTGAAATGGCTTAACTCAACATGTTTAGTAAAACGGTATTTGTCTTCTGGAAGAAAAGAAGTTACATCATCCTGACGCATATCTGTAAATATCGAAAAGCTTATCGAGCAATCGACATGACATTTTGGACATTATCTGTGTAAATATTTACAGCGATAGTAAATGGCTTAAATCTCTTTATAGAATGTTTTCTTGACTCATGCTCAGATTGTCGGTCCTCATCTATATGAGTAGCAATTGCAAGAAGGATGAACGACAAAATAAGCTTTGTCTCTTTAATATCTAAGCTATTTTCTAATACTTTATATTATTTATGCTTCATGTATAACTTTCCATAACCTTTATTCCATACATAATGTCTGACCATTAAAAGGGAGAAGACACCAAGGGGTAATAAAAAAGGCTACAAAAACGTAAACGATTTAATTGAGCTCGTATCATATAATAAAAGAGAGGCGAAAGATACCAAAGTGACATTCAAACTCATAAGTCGAAAATAAACTGACAACGCCATGGCTGAAAAAGAAAAGACTAATAGACAAACAAAAGTACACAAAACACAACATAGAAAACTAAAGACTGAGCAACACGAACCCCACCAAAAACTGGGTGTGATATCAGGTGCTCCGGAAGGGTAAGCAGATCCTGCTCCACATGTGGCACCCGTCGTGTTGCTCATGTTAATACAAACCCGGTAATAGATCAATTTTTGGTAGGTCACATTCGGGGAAAAGGGGACGAAATTGTAGTTACGACATTTGGAACATATCCACTATCATCTGTGAAACGGATATTCCAACTCGTGATGGCGTCCGTAAAATTTACGAAGGGATGATTTCAACTTCACCACCTGGAAATCTTGGTCTAATAGCTTCCTTGTGAGCAGCAACCCTCTATCAAGGAAATCATGATAGGAAATACAAGCCCTGGAATATCAACATTACATAAACATTACAGACGATTCGTCAACCAATAGGTTTTTCCTCGTTATCCGGTAACTCAGAATTTGGTGTAAATTCCACAACTGCAAAATAAATCATTTCATACTGAAATATTTTTTGCCGATACCACATACCTGACCCATTTTCCTCTATAAATAGGACTAACCAAAAAATCAAAAAATCATATATATATTTTTTTAAATACCACCTTAAATATTACTCTTAGTTAATACCAAACCTAAAGCTATGATAGCTGAAGCTGCAACGATTTTGCTTCTATAATGTACAATTTTAACAAAGCTTGATATTAGAAAAGTCAAAAGAGACAAAAATCAATAAAATCATTCTGCATGTCTAAAAAAATTTAATATGGTTGTGGACTAGATCCAGCTATAGAAGTCAAGAGTTATGTTACCCCTATCCCTTCCATCGACAAAAAAGAAACCAAGATGAAAGCTTAACAAAATGTCAGTTTTGATACTATATTTTCAAAATCACTCCTCAAAAGGGCGATTATTGAGTAACGACGAACCTTGTCGCCCCGTGTATCCGTTACTCGGTACAAATTGACACCAACCCCTGATGTTGTTCCGCTTTTATCTTGAGTTGACGTCCCTTCTTAAATTATGAAAATGAATAACACTAATGCAAACGTTGTTTTTATATATATTTGTTGTTTCTTAATATAATATAATAGTTTTGTTTCAGGTATATATATACTTTTTTCTTTCCAATACAATACAATAAAATTTTATTAACCTCTCACCATCAATACTACAGCACACATTTCACATTAAAAAAAAAAAAAATAAACAAAAAATAAAAAAAATTATTAAACCCATTCTTAAAATAGGTACGTACACGAATTTAAAAAAAAGAACTAGTTTATTTACACATTTTGAAAAAGATATTTAAAAAAGTTAAATCATTAAAAATATCTTAAATATATATTCAATCAGAGACATATAATTGTATTATATGTCTCTGATTCAATATAAAGTGCGTTATCAGTGTTGTCATCAGATAACCCTGCAAAAAGAAAGTAAAGAAAAAAATTAAACCTTCGTCATTAGACCAAAATAAAATATCGACTTTCGCAATACAGTACTTCCCATTATTGGTTGTCACTGAGTATTTTCATTTTGTCACATGGAAATTTCCATTGAGGTATTTTAAAATAACCAATTTTCAATGCGTATATTTTTATTCTAACATTTGTATGCTAAAGGCTGTTGAAATTCTCTTCATGCAAAAGTATGTAGATTAATTTTCTCTCTTTATTTTTTAAGTTTTTTTATATGTAAATAATCTACTCTCGTTATTTAATTTAAATGACTGTGACATATTGTATTTCATACGTTTTATACACTGTTGCTGTTTTGTAAATTGCTTGTAAAAGGTGAGACGTAAATAAATAGCTATCGTAAAGTTGACATAGTCGTAATTGAAAAAAGTTCGGATGATAAATTTCTGGGGACAGAATTGTAAACGGCAGAGAGCTCATTATATAATTATATGTATACATTGATTCATATTGAATTATGGAGAAGACTTCATAAGTATGATTTACATCCATTTTGCTTTAATTTAGCAAATAAAATATGTTTAAACTAAACTAACGACAGAGAACAAAATAGCTAAATTTCTTTATGAATATTACTTATAAATAACTATGTTTTTCGAAAGTAAATTGTAAACAGTTAACATATATTAACAATGTTATAGATAACTACGGACTGTTAAATATTTAAAACATCAAGTTTGCTGACAAGTGTGAAACAAAAAAATTTAACTACTTTTCTTAAAGATTTTTACCGATATTTTTTAATTCATATATGTTTTGTCTTTGAATATATCGCAGAGATACGTCGATTCATGCAGATGCTGTTTGAAAACAAATTGTCGTGTAGTATCAGTGTGCAGTTGAAAACATTTTGAATCTAAGTGCAGTTCAAACTATTTTGAAAGTTCTATTGCTTGTCTTAAAATTGTACGTTTTAACTGAGACATTATATAAATAACACATAGCTGAGAGGGTGATAGAGCAGATTGTTACCCCGAGAAAACATTGTCAACTGAGGCGAAGCCAAGGTTGACAATGTCTTTTCGAGGGGTAACAATCTGCTCTATCGCCCTCTCAGATATGTGTTATTTAATTTATTATACTGAATGTTCTGTTATTACTGTCGATTAAATTTCAAATTCATAGTAATAAACTATGACGTCTTGTACATAACAACCATCCGTATTTAATAAAGCGCACACTTAATCAAGAGTCTCCGTGAAGGGTAATAGAGTATTTGCCATAGGAAGAGTCGTATTTAATAAAGCGCACACTTGATCATTAAATATTATTATACTTCATGTGCTTCGCCTCAGTTGACAATGTTTTCTCGGGGTAACAATCTGCTCTATCACCCTCTAAGCTATGTGTTATTTATATATTGACGTATACTATTCCCAGGTTTTAAGCGTAGATCTATATGTAGTTTTTTAAGTGTCCTATTAGGCTTGGTATTGATAATTTCCCAGTGTCAAATTTTATTTATTATTATTTAATTTTAAGTCATTTGGGACGGGGAGATGGGGACGATAGATTTTTTCACGTTTGCGACACAAATGATATCGGCGATGACTATCATTATTTCGTGTATTGTAAAACTTTCAATGCCGATAGAGGGAGCTTTTACCAGGATATTGCTGAAAAAATGCAATTGTTTTTTTTTAACTCAAGCGATACTGTCACTTTATAAAAGGTAAGCAAGTTTATGAAAAGTATATATACATGTAAGTGTCCATCAAGGTAAAGAAATATTTCCACACATATGCATGTTTATATAGAGAATCATGAAGGCTATGTGATTTATGAATGAAAGGAGGTGTGAGTTATACATCAACGAGACAACAACCCAACGACACAATTAACATAAAGACATCTGTATTTGTAATCACACATAGCAATTTTTCCGTGACGATGTCGTGTAGTTTATGTGAATTTGACAAATTGACAAAGTTTCCAATATAGAACTTTTCATATTATAATCAGGTTTAGGTAGATAAATTTCATCCGAATATGATTAAAATTGATTTACTTATCACAAGGTTAGCATAAATAAAAGAGTAAGATGTTTAATCCTGCAAGACAAACGTTTAACTTACTCATGTTTTGCTGTAAAAAAAGAATTAAACAGTATGACCTTGTCAATAACTAATGATATCACATCGCAAATTGCTGGTGACTTCCACATTCTGAATTGGTTCATTGGATTTCATGTCTATTATGCATTAAAAACCCTATCGTTCCTGAATGAAGTAATTCTTTGTTAAACGTTACTTTTCAAGGAGGTTTATATCTTTCTTTTCAGAGAGAAAATCATGTGTTTAATGAAAATTCTCCAGAGGACAATTCAAGGTCAGACACAGCGTCAATTGTCCTTCATGCCAGTGAACGGATCCTTCAACAGAAAAACGGAAGAGAAACCTAAACAGCACGTCTTCAACTTTGCAGAATACGCCTATTTTCATGTTTCTTCTGACAACAAGCTACAAAAGCCTTCAAATAACAATATAGAACAGAATAAACAGCAGGTTACTGTAAATAACGGAAACTACGACGGCGACATAAAATGTCTGTATAGTCCAGGAATTAAATTTTAGAGAGGAATTTGAACGCCATGACGTTTCCCATCTCTGATGTCCATTTGAATCCGCATGGAATCATTCTTGTTCATATGAAGAGGAACATTCTTCCTTTAAAAAGACGAAAAGATACGATTGAATAACGACTATATATTTATATATAGTATACGGGATCATACAGTTGAATAATGACTTCAGCATTTACTATATATATTTCTAGTATCGATCTTCTAGACAGTTTCTGAATGCTCGGTTGATCCTTGTATTTCCTCAGTATTTGTAGAAATGCCATTTTTGTGATTTGTTTTAACCCATAGAATTTTCTGCATTTCTTATCAATATATCTGTAGACTCAACGATTTTCATTTGTATGTAAAATTGCAACATATACAAAAATATATAAATTATATGTAAAAACAAAAAGTTTTCTTTAATTCTTTACGACGAGTATTGCATGAAATATGATTTGTTATATACATGTATGCATGGAACGTTTTACGTTTGACGAAAGTAAGCACGATAAGTATAGATTATCAGGTTTTCTATACATTGATATCGTAAAATATCAGCCGCGCGCCACAATGTGAACCTTTTTGGTGAGTTAGCGCAACGAACGAGCAAAAAAGCTTCACATTACTAGTATGTCGAGCGGCTGATATTTACGATATCTATATGTAGAAAACCCGATAATCTGTTTATCGTTCTATTACTGGTCTTTCCCCTCCCTTAGATAGTTTTAAGATTGAAAGCAAGCTTGATATTGTCTCCTCACACATTGTCACTTCGCTGATAACTTCTCCCCAGACATTGTGACGTCGCTGATAATCCCAGCCGTGATACAACAGTTACGGAACATCTTATCAGGGTGATATAGGCAAAGGGAAGGACGTTTCGTGGCCTCTCACATTGTGACGTTATTGATAACTTCTCCTCAAGGATATTATTCAATGTCATTGTTGCAAAAAAAAAGCACACTACATCTGTAGTAAGCTACCTATCTACCAACGTTTAATCCTGGATAATTGTTCAAAAAGTTATACATGACAAATGAAAAGTTGTCAAATAACTGCCAGATAATAATTTATAAATTAGATTGTTTTGACTTCATTACTTTTAATGTAAATATAAAAGTCACTGTTTACTACTATCCTGTCATATTTGTTGACCATTTCCCGTCGTCTCTGTTTACAACATTCTAACGTCGCCTTTGTTGACCACTTATCCGTCGTCTATGTTTACAACATTCTTCTGTCCTTCCTGTTGACCACTATCCTGTCGTCTCTGTTGACAACTCTCCTGCCATCTCTGTTTACAACATTTTTACGTCGCTTCTGTTGACCACTCATCCGTCGTCTCAATTTAAAACATTTGTCTGTCCTTCCTGTTGACCACTCCTCTGCCGTCTCTGTTGAACACTTCATTGTCTCTTATTTTGACAACGTTATTCCATCGTCTCTGTTGACAACACTCTTCGGTCGTCATCTCTGTTAAATTCATGTCAATTGTCTCTAATTGAAACATTCGTCCGCCGTGTTTGTTCACAACATTCTTCAGTAGTTAGGTGCGTTTCAAAATATAAAATTTCGCTATTGAATGAAATTAAAATTGAATGAGTTCATTTGCATTTTTTTCTTCATTTAAACATATTTTATTTGTTATTACATATAACAAAAAGGATCAGACACAAGTTATCACAACTAAGATAGAAGATAGTTCTCTCCTATTGGCTAAATATAATAAGTTATAATATATAAATATAAAGACATGCAACAACAACATTATATAATTATAGATTTGTACAATAGTTATAGAAAAAAAAAGAAAGTTCACAATTTCACAAATAAATAAACATCAGTCCTACGCCAAAAAGCTTATTCATCGACATTCTAAACTATATCAGTTCAAAAAAGTTTCTAAAGGTCAAAACGTTCACTTTTCCGATTAAAATGCAAGACTTCTTTAATTAAGGATGTATTTTGACTAAAAGTTAAATTTTCGTTTCCATTTAGCAAAGTACTAAGATCTAAAGACGGGACAAAAAGTATTTTGTCTAAAAGGTGAATTCCGATTTGTGCATAAAGCGGACATTTGAAGAAAAAAATAAATCTGTCTTCAGTCAGACTGCCGCACCGACATCTTTGGTAATTTATAATATTGAATCTAAAAAGGTCATAATTTAGAGTTGAGCATGAATGTCCAAGTCTTGTTTTAATATAATGTTTGCCTTACGTTCTCCAACATAATAGTGTTTTGGGGGCTTTGGATTGATGTGATTTCTTTCGTAGGGAATACTTAAATTTGGAGATGGAATCTACATTTCTAATTATGTTATAGATTTCATTCCATTACCTTATAGTATTGGAAAATGTGATTTTTTTGTAAGTTCTAATCTACAAAATGGTATTATGAGGTCAGTGTTGTTAGGAAGATCATACCCAGAAATAATTTATACAGGAGGTGGTATTCGTGTTTGTAAATAATTAGGAGCTTGTCCATTATAAATATTGTAAAATAACTGAAGTTTTCTTCGGCTTCTTCTATCAGACAAAGGTTCCCAACCCGTTTTAGAATATAAAATTTCACTGTTGCAATAATAAGGTAGGCCTATAACAATTCTTGGAGCTTCACGCTAAAGTTTTTTCAACAGTTCAGTATTAGCAATACCACAATTATCCCATACTTTGCAACCATACTCAAATAATGGTCTTATATAAATTAAATAAAGTTTTTTCTAGATTTGAACGAGTGAGCTTATATTTTAATTTTCTGAGTACGCCTAGATGTTTTGATATTTTTTTTTTTAAATTTTAAAACATGATCGTTCCATTTACAACCTTCACCTAAAGTTATACCCAAGTGTTTGTGATTGGGTACTATCGGAATTTCTTGATTGTCTAATCAAAATGAAAGGTCATCTGGTCGTTGCCTGTTTGTGAAATATATAATTTCTGTCTTTTTTGGATTAAAAGACATTAACCAGGTTTTTGATCAGTAATTAAGTTGAGTTAAATCATTTGAAATATGTTCTTATATTAAGAATGGATTTCTACTAGAATACCAACGGAGATATAATCCGCAAATAATCTACAGAGCGACGTTAAATTTTCGCTGATATCATTTATATATATCAAAAATAAAAGGAGCCCTAAAACTGAACCTTGGGGAACCCCTGCAGACACTTTACCCACAGAAGACGCACTGTTTTTATTGACAACCTTCTGCTCTCCGTTTTCTAAATAGCTGGAAAACCATTTTAATAAATTACCAGATATTACATAGGCTTTAATTTGAGTTGCAAACCCTTTTGTCATACTTTATCAAATGCTTTCGAGAAATCGGCAAAAACAAAGCATGTATCTTCCTTATTTTTAAGTGCATTTAAAATCGAATTATAAATTTCCAAGAGTTGGTGTGAAGTTGAATGTTTTGATAAAAATCCAGACTGGTAAAGGTGAAAAAGGCCATGTTCAACCATAAAGTTATAAGCCCGGTTATGACTTTACCTACACAACTGATAAGTGAAATCGGACGATAGTTAGAGGGAATTGAAGGATCTACATTTTTAAAGAATGGAATAACATTAGCCAGTTTCCATTGAGTGGGATAAGTACATGTATGTAATGAGAAATTAAAAATGATACATAAAGGCACTGCTATTTCTTCTTTGCAGCTGATCAGTAGCTTGTGACTAATCAAATCAGGTCCAGTCGCTTTCTTCGGATTTAAGATTTTCAGGATATCTATAATTTCGTTTTCGTTTATTTCAATATTATTAAGTTTTTTGATATGTTTTTGTTGGGAAGTCTGGGAGTTGTGCATGCTCATCGTTTAGGTGAGAAACAGAACAAAAATTATAGTTATTTTATCAAGGTCGTCATATTGTTATTTCATCAATAACACCTTTTGATTATATTTTTTCAGAGGCGGTTTGTCAATTGACCCATTATTATTTTTTATGAGCATTCTCATAAATTTCCAGTACATTTTTAGATTTGCAGAGTTTTCGATGATTATATCGTTTAAATTATTTTCAAATTGCTCCGTAGCAAATTTCTTCATATTATTGACTCTATTACGTTGATTTCTCAGTTTTAAGATATCGATGTCTCTCTTTGTTTTAAGAGCTTTCTTTCTTAATAAGTTTCTTAATCTGATATGTTTTCTAATTTCATTTGTAAACCATGGTCTATCATTTGTTCGAACAGTAATGTTTTTGGTAGGAGTGTTAGCCCGCGCAATCTTTAATAGATTATCTGTAAAAATTATACACATTTTGTTAACGTCATTACAACCAATCAATAAATTTTCCTACGTAATTGCTTGTAAATCCCGCTTTAAAGAATCAATGTCCATTTTATTATATTGTGTGTATTCAAGGAAAATTCCTGTCCGCCATACAGTCACTTTACGAGAATGTCAAATGTACAGTCCGCGTGAATGATAGATACACTCCATGGTTTGAAGTGGACTGTGGTGTGAAACAAGGATGTTTGTTATCACCGGCAATGTTTGCGATCTATATCAATGACTTGGCCGAGCGCATTAACAATCTACAGTGCGGCATTCGAATAGGAGATGATCTCTTAAGTATTCTTCTTTACGCCGATGATATAGCGCTTATTGCACCCGATGAAGTTAGTCTGCAAAGAATGTTGGATGTTGTCTCAGATTGGTGTAGTCAGTGGAAGCTTGATGTTAATCCGTCCAAGAGTAACGTAGTGCATTTTCGAAATCCATCTATCGATCATAGTAATTTTTACTTTACTTGTTCCAGACAAAACATTACCTATGCTACATCATATAAATATTTAGGCATGTGGTTAGATGAACATTTAACGTTCGACAAAGCCGTACGCGAACTATCAAAATCAGCGAGCAGGGCGGTCCTTGTATGGCAAATTTATAAGCGCAGGCAGTGATGACACAGTCTGTATATTCCAAGTTGTATTCTACTATGGTTGAACCAGTGTTATTTTATAGTTCGGGAATATGGGGCACAAAGGTGTATTCAGTAATAAACTCTATTCAGAACAAAGCAGCTAAATTGTTTTATGTCTGTTGGAAGATACACCACAAATACTGCGATTCGAGGAGATATGGGTTGGACCTCGTGTTTTACGAAACAAAGAACTGCATGTATACGATTATTAAGTCTGATATTGCGATCTGATGATACGCGTTTAACTCGCAAGATTACCGAGTGGACTAAAAATCGACGTAAAGGCTGGTACGTTAAGGTGAACAGTTTTGTGGAAACCATTGATGTCACTGATATTGTTAACGATACATTAATTTCTACAAAAACTGTTATACGAACAATAAAGGAACGCTTTGATGTTGTTGATAACGATGAATTTAAACAAGAGTTGTTTGACGATTCGAACAATGTAAACGGAAATAAATTAAGGACATACCGTTTATAC